GGAACTTAATTTCATATACTCTTTCTATGTGTATGTTATCTAGTATTAATTGTATCTGTGGATTTGTTTTATGTTTTCCAAATAACATAATCTTTGTTTTGCTTATATTTAATGATAATTTGTTTGTGTCAAACCAATGTTTTACTTTAATAATTTCTGCTGTTATCACTTCCATTAGCTCTTTCAAATTGTCACCGGAACAACAAATATTTGTGTCATCTGCAAATAAAATAAATTTCAATATATTTGATACTCTGCAAATTTCGTTGATGTATATTATGAACAGCTTTGGACCCAACACGGACCCCTGAGGTACTCCACAAGTTATGTTCATGTATTCTGATTTATGTTCACCAATTTCAACAAATTGTTGTCTGTTGCTTCAATAATCTCTCACCCAGTTTAATCCCACCCCTCTGATGCCATACCGTTCCAGTTTTATCAGTAAAATATTGTGATCTATGGTGTCAAATGCTTTTTGTAAGTCTATACATATTCTCACTGCTTGTTTTTTATTGTCCATGCAGTTTGCTATTTCCTCACTTAATTCCATTAGTGCCATAGATGTTGATCTATCTTTCCTGAATCCATATTGACTGTCGTCCAAAAGCTGATGTGTTTCCATGAAACTGTGCCGCGGAAAACTGTACAAATCCCGTTTCAATAATTCCCCTCTACTCTAAAGTCGCATCTAAAACGTGATCTGATCTAGCTGTGTATATTTTGTTATTTTCGATTGTTATATTCAATATCACTAGCTACAGGCATGTTTGAAGCTTGTAAAGAGACGATGACAGCTCTCGCCACTCTGCTGTTCCTCAGCGCCGCCCCCCCTCCCTCCCGCTGAAATTATGAATGTAAGGTGTATAGTAATCATAGATAACACGGCAGGGTCCGTTACAGTTTGTTTTCATCTGATTTCAAATAAGCAAAGTCTTGGCTTTCAGAATATTAAACTTGTTTCGGCAAATTCAGATGATAAATACAACTTTGAAGCTTCGGCATAATTACAAGCGGAGAACGGAGTAGCTTAACGTCACAGCAGGCATAACAACAGCCGGTGTTTCTCGTGAGTGCTGTAATCCAAACGAAAATATCTTCCCTCCGTAGTATTTTGATCATTTGCTCCGCTAATAATCAATCAGATCGATCCAGAGAAGAGGACACTTTAAAGGCCTTTTTCTCAAAATGATGACTCTGTAACAGTCATTATATAATGTGACATATTTTGGTTAATATTTGGAGTACAAAAACAATCCTGATATCATTAGAAAGCTAGGAATCAAAATGTGTCTTCGGGTCAATGCGACTGATTTCGATGGAGCAGGTCACTTTGCATTAGGTAAAATAAAGCAGGCAGACATAACAGGAAGAATATGTACATTTTAACCCAATCAAATAGGACATTGTCACACCATTCAAATGTATCCATGTACATTACAACCAATACAAAAGCTTAGATTTGTTTATTTGTTACGTTGTTTACTTTATTTGTTACATTGTTCTGTGTGTGTCAGCCGTTAACCAGATAGAAAGAATATATACACTTGCAAACATGTCAGAAGAACCAGCGCAGAAGAAAACTAAATACAGTAAACTTAAATTTAACAACTGGAAGGTCACATCCCTGACATCCACATCTCCGGAGCCTGGACCTTCATCAATCATAGAAACAGCGAAATCAGATGAACCCAAAAGCAGCACCTCTGCGGCCGCAGAAACTGTCAAAACCGCTGCCCCCACCGCCGCCGTCGTTGAACCGAAACAGGCTGGTTCCGACTGCATGGAGGTTTCTTATCGGGACATTGAGGCGGGTAAAGCTGTATAGCTAACTGTCGGAAAAAAGGAGACCGCTAGTAGATTATTTGAGCAAAGAGAAAGGTAGCCTACTTCAACGCAGAATGGTACAAAAACAGAGAGTGGTTAATTCTTTGCAAAACCACTAAACGATAGTGATAAATTGCGATGTTAACAACCTCATAGGCTAAGTTTTTAACTTAGGATCATACCTGTGTTTAGTCTAGAAAAAGGTAAATGTGTGCATTTTATTATAAAGTTGTGTATATTTACAGACTATTGCAAAAACTAAGAAGCTTATAAACATCAGGTTTAAAACTAAAAGAGCTTTACAAAAAAGTAACACAATTAAAGATGTTTGGAGTTTTATTTGAGTTATATAGACATTTTTTGTCAAAGAGATGCTGATTTGAAACCGTTGTTAGGCCTACATAAAGTTACGGCATTTCCTGTTTCTGCCGGAGAGAGGGGAGTTTGTCCCAAAGCTTGCTGCTGTATTTACTCCCTCCATCTGACAGGAGGGAGCCTCATGTGTCACTCCACGGAGTTCACTCCGTCACGGAGAGGGAGTGTGTAGGTGTAGGACGTGGTTTGGGATTGGGCCATACACACGCACTTTTTTTGCCCCCCCCACTTCTAAAATGAATCCGGCGCGCCTGATTAGCAATGTTTGGCTCGAGGAGCTGACACAGATAAGTCAGCCCTTCTGACGAGAAGCTGTATCTGTCATACAAATACTCATCAGAGAAAGCCAAAGGGTTTTGTCTGTCCCTAAATATCCTCTCCCTCCTGAGTGCGCCTCTCAAAATTCTCGCTCCGAGCTCCACAGCGTCATCGACAAATGTTGACATCATTTTCACAGAGAATTCATTGGTCAATAGGCAGAGATTTTATACGCTGATCTCTTATCTGGAACATAACCTGCTGCTAAACTACCCCGGTAAGAAGTGAACCAGCGTCGTAGGACCGAAAACCCAGTTAACCCTGAAATCACCTCGCTAACCACTAATCCTGCGTTTTAGTACAGGGCAGAGGTGTCCGCCTATCTCTGGCTGCAAGACTACTGCCATACATCAGTGAAAATATAGAGGGAGCTAAATACCTTTCTAGTTGTTTTTTAGTATAAAGGCTATATTTCTAGTCAAAATTATGACTACCAGCATTTTGCAAGCCGTGTATCAATCAAGATACAGATTCCAGCGCACAGAATCAAATCACAACAACTGAATCATATACGCAGGAAATGCATTGCTTTGCATTGCTGCCTGTGCTTTTTGTGCCACATGTTTTACATTCAACTCCTCTATCCCGGACTCCGTCATTGTCCCCGACGGATTTACTATTTCTCGCCAGGACCGGACTGTAAACACAGGGAAAAGTAAGGGAGGTGTGTGCTTCATGGTGAACAATAATGGTGCTCGGATGTGGGGATTATTTATTCGGACTGTTCTCCTCATTTAGAGCACCTCATGATCGGATGCCGGCCTTATTTTCTGTCGAGGGAATCTACATCGGTTGTGCTGACATAGCAGGTCACCAATCGTTGTCACAAACAGAAAATCTACCTGTGTCACTTGTATACCTTGGCCTTTAAACTCAAACCAAAGAAAACATTGTAGCACTGAAATGGTTAGGACCATTTTAAAACAATGCACCAGCAGTAATGGTTTAGCTTATTTGAAGCTTATATACCTGCATGTTTCTCATTGTGTGTTGCTTTATGGTTTATTACACTTATTGTAAGTGGCTTTGAATACAATGTAATGTAATGTTCATTGCTATATGAAGCAGATGAATGAAATAGACAAAATGATAAAAAGACAGCAGTCTGTCAGTATTTTTATTTGTTAAGTGACTTTCCTCTCAAGATGTTTATACCCTAACTGGAGTAGTAATTGTGCAAATACAGTCTACTGCTGCCTGCTGTTAAGTTGAGTTATTTCCTATCAGGCAGATGCAAGAACATGAGTGATAGTTGGCTGCTGGCTGTAGTGTATTGTTTGCCAAGAAGCAGAACCGTGATGCAATTAACAGAAGCTCAGTCAAAAGTATTATTTTGGCGTCGGGTTGGTCTTTAGGCTGCCTAAGACCTGATGTTCCAGACCAACAGTTGCCTTGGGTGAAAATAATCCTTAATAATTTGAATAGGACCAGGAGGGGTTTCAAATGCAGAGGTATCCTTCCAAAAAACACAGGGTGGTTCAGTCCAGAGACTGCAGGAAGACATTGCATGCTGTGGTTTTATTAAATGTGCCAAGTGGTAGGACTGTCTTAGGGAAGAAAGCTTTTAGATGTGCAGCTCCACTAACTTGGAACAGTCTGCAAAAATAATGGAAAATGACCAAGCTAGTACCACTACATGTTTTTAAAGCTCGGTTGGATGCTACAAAATCAGATGCTGTTGGTACCTGTACTTGTGGTTAAATATGTAAATTGTAATCCCTGTACATTTTTCTGTATGATGTCCTTTTGTTGTTCTGTTGTTTATGTTTTTATGTCTTCTTGTGGAACCTACTGCTGCAGGTCTCCCTTGAAAAAGAGATCATTGATCTCAATGGGATTTTACCTGGATAAATAAAGGTTTTGAATTGAATTTGAATTGAACCATCCTCTACATTTGCCACAACGCAATGCAATGGATTATTGCTGGTAGATTACTTTGTGACGTTAGTAGGTGTGCTGTGTACCTTGTGATTGTTGTAACCAAACTTTAAATTGCTGTTGTGATAACCAATCATAAAGGATAATCCTCAATCATAATGCAGTTAAACTGAAAAGATAAGCAGCATTTAAAACAAGTATTGCACATAATTAGAAATAAAAGAGTAGAAAATATATAGGGGAGGGATATTATTTACATTTAGTGTGCAATAATGGCATATTAAATATAAAATGTACAGTGTGAAGTTGTGAAGTTATAAGTCCAGATAACAAAATAGAAACTATGGAAATCAACCTTTACGTAAATAAAATAATGTTTTTTAAACATTCTTTTTTTGTAAGTATTCCTTTTATCAGTCATGTCAAAGGTCTACACAACACAATCTGTTGACTTATACTTTAACCAAAAACTTCCATCAAAAAGTGATTTGAATGTGTGATGTCCTGAATGACAAGCTGTATGTATTTGTCATTTAATAAAATAAACCCTTTTATCTATTACATCATGAATGCAATTTAAATAATGAACACAGTGGACATTAGATCATGCCCTCCAAATGTTTTATTGACTTCAACTGAGAGCTGACACGGTTAAAGGAATGAAGGTCTGGAGACACAGAATGTTATGAAGACAAAGATTTTAAACTTTTCATCTTCATAGTAGGTACATTTGGCAAACAATGATGTATGATGATCACACATATGTATTCTATGATTATGATCCAGTGATTAGACATGTTTTAAGCCTTTAGATACCAGGAAATATAAAATAAAATAAAAAGTGATACAATTATTAGAAAGAGAGAAAGGAGCGACTGAGGTTACATGCCTGAACGATGACTATAGGAGTAGACGGATGGGTAAAAGGCTGAGGCCTTGGTAATTTATCCTCAACAAGCTCCATCAAAATTAAGATTTTTTTTTAGCTCAATTGGACCATTTAGGTCACCAGGTCTTACTCATTGGCCTGCTGTAAGGCCCTATGGCAGATGCAGTTAGAGCTTTGCTTAACGTTTTCATATTTTGCTTGGCAGTAAAGCAGATGCCCATTTAAAAAATGTCAATGGGTTTAAAAAGAATATATATATATAAAGTAGAACACAACCAACGCATTTGATGAAACAAGTTTTAATCTCATCAAGTCTTCCTCTTCATTCCTCGCCTCATTCAGTCGCTCTTGAGTTTAAGGACAACCTCAGTCTCCTTGGGGAGGAACTCCCTGCCAAAACACACAGAGGAGAAAAAACAAACAAACGCAATGATCAGGGTATGATACGGGCATTAGTGGAATAGGGTCTTCCTTGTTTATTCAATTCATTCCCATTCCCAAAACCCAGTACACTTTTAAAAAGACTGGGCAAGTTGTAAACAGAAATAAGTATGAGAGAGAAAGGGACAGCTGCTGCATTCACACCAGATCAGGCGTGCCAGCAAAGAGTGCCAGACTGTGCGGCAGTGCTGGAGTGTCACAGCAGTGGTTCCCAACCGGGGGTACGGTGACCCCCAGGGGTACTTGCCATGGTGGGCCGCCAGAGCCAGTATGTTTGGATTTATGAAGGCTAAAGTGTTCCCAGTAAAGAAAATATAAAGAAAGCAAGAACAAGCAAACAGCCGACACAAAAAAAACCTAACGGAGTGAAATGACCCAGAAGTACCTCAGTGGCAGCCATGATAAGAGCTGTTCGAATTCTCTATGATAGGAAAGGAGATTTGAAATTTCAATTAAACATTGGACCTTTCTTCGAAAAGAGAAAATGCTGCCCCACAATACCTTGCGGCCGCAACATTTACCGTGACACAACATTCGGCCATTCACGGTAAACGGATCATGACCGAGAAATGCGTATGAACATAACAAGACAAGCATAAGTTTCACTTCACTTTTTTATTTCAATTCCAACCTTGGTCATAAGGAATACATTTTTCACTGTTGTCCACGTTCTTAAAGAATAAAACAACACCATAAGAACACGGTGCAAAGTTTTCTAGATGCCTTTACAGTAGTCTGCCATTGAAAAAAGAAAAGAAAAGTCTCTTTGCCTAAGTCCTTTTTGAATTCTCCTATCCAATATTCCATAACCCTGTGACGTTTCACACAGAGGTCAAGGAATAGTGGATAGGAAAAGACGATAGGAGCTGATTTTTTGACTATTCGACTGCAACCCAGAAGAAGACAGGCAGGAAGTTAACACTAAAGGGAACAGCAGAAGAAGACAGGAAGGAAGGAAGTAAACACTAAAGGGAACACGTTATAGGCAGTGTTTAAACACTGGTTAATGGAATGGACAGACCTGGACAGAGGGTTTTTTTCATAATGTAGGTACACTTTATTTTCGGGCTCAATAGCATAACATGACTGACATTAAAGCTATGATTCCATTATGAATGTGTGTGTGGCTCAGTGTGATAGTGTGTTGATCTTGGGATCAGGGGAGCACAGGTTCCATCCCCATCAGCATGTCACTGTGTCCCTGGGCAGTGTTGTGTCTCGTCAGATTTGTTCGTTTTATGATGACGTTTTTTGATCTTAGTTTATTTGTATTAGTGTTAACCCTTTTTGTTTGTTGTCTGGCATTTCCTGTTTTATTTTGACACTAATCTCCCCTCTCATTTCAGGTAGTTTGACTCCTCCCCATGTGTGTTCTTCACTGACCTCATTACCTGCCCCGCCCTTATTGTTTGTACCTGTAGAGCCCCTGTGTGTGTATTTAATCTGTGTTTTATCTGTGCCAAGTGCCAGATCGTTTCGTGCCTAACCCCCAAAACACACCAGGAGCGTCTGCGCCGTGTTACGTTGCGGCTGCGCCACGCTGCGACCTCCTCCTGCGACAACACACACCAGACGCGTTTCAAAACGTTGCGGAAGCGGAGCGTCGTGTGTGCAGCCTCGCAGTTGTTGTTGATTTTGGAATATTTCCTGGACATTTGTACTTCTACAAGTAAGTAGGCTATACGTAGTTAAATGGTTTATGTTTGTGTCTGTTTAAATCGTGTTTATTGTTGTTATTTCCTATTTTGTTGTGTTGTAGACTACAGACACAGTTAATAATAATTGTAATATTCCAGTTATAAACGACATGAATCAAAGATGTGTATTTTAGTGGTAAAAAAATATGCATTCATCATCATAATTATTCTATATATATATATATCATTTACAGTGCCTGTAAACCGGAGGAGAACGCTGGCATGTATTATCCTACTTGAAAGACTACGGGGGGATGGGGGGAGGAGTTTACCTTACGGCTGCGCCGCGGCAAAAATAGGATTCATCCTAATTTTAGAGAAGCGCTCCGCCGAGCCGCTTCTGGGACGCGTCTGAGCCGTAACGCGGCGCGTGTGGTGTAATAGCACCCATTGACTAGAGTGGCCGCGATCCTTACGACCTCCGCGGCGCGGCCGTAACGCGAAGCAGACGCTCCTGGTGTGTTTTGGGGGTTAGAGTGGAGCATTCCAGCGTTTTCTTTAGCCTTACAAATATTTAGAGATTAGACAGCCAGTGGATTTCTGATCTAGAGAGTTAGTTAGTATTAGTAAGTATTTAGTAATTATTTTGTATCTAAGTGTGTTTGTATTGCCCTGCAAATCACCCAAGTAAATACTTTTTTTTTAACCGTCTTTTTTGTCTGGAGTCGTGCACTTGGGTCTTGTCATTTTCTTGTGTGCCCCAGTCGTAACAGGCAGACATCCTGTGGGGATTGCCCACAGTACTGAATGTAAGTAAGTCACTTTGGATAAAAGCGTCTAACAAGTTAAATGGAATACAGGGTGTGTGTTGGTGTGTGGTGTGTGTGTGTGTGTGTGTGTGTGTGTGTGTGTGTGTGTGTGTGTGTGTGTGTGTGTGTGTGTGTGTGTGTGTGTGTGTGTGTGTGTGTGTGTGTGTGTGTGTGTGTGTGTGTGTGTGTGTGTGTGTGTGTGTGGGTGTGTGTGTGTGTGTGTGTGTGTGAGTGTGTGTGTGTTTGTGTGAGTGCGTGTGTCTCACGTCATTGTTATCTCTGCCCTTTGTAACATCCGTCTGGAGGCTTTTGTTTCCACACGATCATGGAGCTCATCAGAAAGAAAGACGACTTCTTTCATACCTGGATACATAAATAACTTATTAATCTTATAGCAGAATCATGGCAGTTGAAGTAAAAGAGAGAAAAGGAGAATAAGAAGTGGAGTAACTCAAATGAAATCTATCTGTATCTGTATAACAAAAATATGAATGTGCGTGTATACAAAACAGACTGGAAAACTATAGGTTACTTACGTAACCCCAGTTCTCAGAGTAACATGAAGTGAGATGTCTCACTATGGGATGCGCCTCATCGCGGAGCAAACAGAAGCATCAATCTCATTACGCCAATCCTGATTGGCTGGTGATCTTGATGTCAGCGTCAGGGAATTCACCCCCTATAAGTAGCTTGCGCCACAACGCATGCATCATTCAAAATAAGCACCACTTCTCGCTTCACCATAGCAAGGAGGGCCGTCTGGTGAGACATCTCACTTCATGTTACTCTGAGAACTGGGGTTACGTAAGTAACCTATAGTTCTCATTCATAACACTCCGTTCGATGTCTCACTATGGGAAATTGTAGCTCCCGTATTGTCAGACGAGCTTATCTCGAAATTCACCAAACCAAACAGAACTTAACAGGTAGAGCTCTGACTCAACCAGGTGCCCAGCACTGCTTGAGTCACACTGGGAGCAGAACGTCCAGCCTGTTAAGAGGCGGACAAAAGTGAGCGGCGAGGACCAGCTCGCCGCTGCACCAATGTCTTGGATGGGAGACATCCTGGACAGAGCCCAGGATGCAGCCAGACCCTGAGTCGAAAGAGCTCGCGGACCCGAGGGTGCCTGCGAACTCTGACTCATATGGGCCCCAAAGCAATTGCTTCCACAAACCAGTGGGAGAGCCGTTGCTTAGTAACAGGCTTGCCCTTATAAGGGTTAGCCCAGGACACAAGGGGTTGGTCATTATGACGAAGCACCCTTGATCTGTCCCTGTACGTGCGTAAAGCACGGGCTGGACACGGCAAATCCGGCCGCTGTTCCCCGGAGGAATACAGTGGCGGGGAGGATGCCTCAATGTCAAATGTGGTACCTGAACCAACCGCCTTAAGATAAAGGTAGGGTTGGGCTTCAACCACACTCTGTTTGCCCTGGGGCAAACTGAGTGCATGAAGACTGTACAGATAGCGCATGAGTGCCACTGGCTCGCTTGGCAGCTGCCAGGGTCAGCTTCATGTCACACTGTATTCAGATTGTACCACTCACGGGCCAGGCCCATAGAGCCAAGCGCTCTGGGTGTGGGTGAAAGATCGCCCCCCCCGCTTGGGACAGTATGTCCCTGCGTAGTGGGAGCTGCCATGGCTGCCCGCACAGCAGCTGATATATCTCCGCTGGCCAGTACATAGCTGGCCAGTGCGGAGCTATCAGGATAAGTGTGTGGTGTTGCTCTCTCACTCTGGCCAGAGTTGGGGGTATCAGAGCCAGGGGTGGGAACGCGTACAGAAGGCCCGGGGGCCAATCGTGCGCGAGTGCATCCACGCCTAACGGTGCATTTAGATCGCGCATCGAAAAGAACAGCTGACACTGAGCGTTGTCTTTCGATGCGAACAGATCCACCGCGGCTCTGCCGTAACGCACCCACAGCTGGCTCACAATCCTTGGATGTAGAGTCCAGTCTGCATAAAGTGGTATACCTCTGGACAGTAGATCTGCCCCGAGGTTCATCACTCCCGGTACGTGCGTCGCTCTCAGAGAGAGGAGACGTCTACCGCTCCATAGGATCAGTTTGCGCGCCAGTGTGTGTAACTGGAGAGAACGCAAACCCCCTTGGCGGTTAATATACGATATTGTGGTCGTATTGTCTGTCCTCACGAGGACGTGATGTCCCCTGAGGAAAGGCAAAAAGCGTTTTAGGGTGAGAAACACCGCTAAAAGCTCCAGGTAATTTATGTGCGCCCGCTGGAGGTCTCTGCTCCAGAGACCCCTCACCGGGCGACCTTCATAAATACCTCCCCAACCTGTCAGACATGCGTCCGTGGTGACCACTTTCCGTGAAAGGACAGCACCCATAGGCACACCTCATACTAGAAAAGTCGGGTGCAGCCAGTGGCGCAGTACCATTACGCATTTCACAGTAACCATAACTCTCCGCGCGCCATGGTTTAGTGGGGTTTAGTTTTAGGGCAGCCACCCAGCGCTGAAACTCCCTCATGTGTAAGCGTCCCAGTCGTACGACCAGGATGGCTGACGCCATGAGCCCCAGCAATCGCAGGCATGATCTGAAGAGAACATGTTTGCGCAGCTGGAAAAGAGCGAGACAAGCTCTGAAAGCTTTCACTCTTTCCGCTGACAAGCGAGCTGAAAAGGGCACCGAGTTCAGGCGTAAACCCAGGAAGAGTATAGTCTGCGTGGGGCACAACATGCTCTTCTCTGTGTTTATTATGAAACCCAGGTTGAGCAGGTGCCTTACGAGGACATTTGTCTGCGTAACAGCCTCCTGCTCCGACTGTGCGAGAAGCAGCCAGTCGTCCAGGTAGGTCGCCAGGCGAATACCCTGTTGTCTTAACGGGGCTATAGCGGCTTCCGTACATCGTACAAACACCCTTGGACTGAGAGACAGACCGAAGGGGAGTACTCTGTATTCATAACAGATCCCCTGAAATGCGAATCCCAGATATTTCCTGTGTGGGTAATATACTGGGATGTACGCATCTTTCAGGTCGACTGACCAGTCGTCTTGTCGCACGAGCCGCAGCAGAGATGTGTGAGTGAGCATTCTGAACTTATATCTTTTTAGATATTTGTTCAGAGCCCTCAAATCAAGTATTGGCCGAATTCCGTTCCCTCCCCGTTTGGGAACGAGGAAGTACTTGGAATAGAAGCCGCCCTGACTCTGCTCGGCGGGTACAATAGATATAGCCCTCTTTTCTAGGAGTGAGAGAATCTCTCTCTCCAGAATATGGGCTGACTCTCCTCGGGCCTGCGAATGCAGAATGCCCGAGAAGCGAGGAGGGGTGACGGTGACTTGGAGTCTGTAGCTCCGTGTAACTGTCTTGAGAAACCCAAGCAGATGTCGTGAGCATCTCCCGCTGTATAATCCTTAGAGCCAGCTGAGATGTCACGTCTCTTCCCCTCTGAGTCTCTATTTGTTGTGTTATGGGGCCCTCCACTGTCTGAGCACTGTGGTGCCCCATTTCGACAATCCCCACCGACACAGCGCATGCGCGTGGAGGTGGTGCCCTTACGGCTCCAGCCGGCACTGCGCATGCGCGTGGAGGTGGTGCCCTTACGGCTCCAGCCGGCACTGCGCATGCGCGTGACGGTGGTGCCTTCATAACACCAGCCGGCACTGCGCATGCGCGTGACGGTGGTGCCTTTACAGCTCCAGCCGGCACTGCACATGCACGTGACGGTGGTGCCTTTACAGCTACAGCCGACACTGCGCATGCGCGTGACGGTGGTGCCTTCACGACCCAAGCCGGCACTGCGCATGCGCGTGATGGTGGTGCGTTTACAGCTCCAGCCGGCACTGCGCATGTGCGTGACGGTGGTGCCTTCACGACCCCAGCCGGCACTGCGCATGCGCGTGACGGTGGTGCCTTTACAGCTCCAGCCGGCACTGCGCATGCACGTGACGGTGGTGCCTTTACAGCCCCAGCCGGCACTGCGCATGCACGTGACGGTGGTGCCTTCACAGACCCGTCAATTGTCCGCCCTTTGAGAGAGGCCGTAGCTGCTCTCAGAAGGGGAACAGTTGACGGACTGTTTATTGTTTTTATTGTTTTTCTTTTCATTTTCGAGCTGCGCCCTTGGCTCGAAGCCTGGATGCGTCAGCGGAAAATGTTTTATGACAAAAAAATCAATAAGTGTGTGACATGTGGTTACGCGGACTTGAGGATGGTGTTGAGGCATCTCTCGAGGTGGCGGGAACACATTTAGAGCTGGGGAACCGTAGACTTCCAGCTCTGTCACAGAGGGGAGAAGGAGGGGCTGTCACGCCGCTCGCTTCTTCTTCCTCGACTGCTGGCCGAAATTCTGGGTTGGCTGCGCCTGGGCTGCAGCCGGAACCTGAGATTTTCTAGGCCAGCTCGCCCTCGTCCCCTGCCTGGGCTGGGGACTCGGGGCGGACTGCGACCTCTGCGTTTTCGCAAAATTTCGTATTTTGAACCGAGCAGGGTTCGGAGCAGCTTGGACGAAGGGCTGCCGCTGCGAAGGCAGCGGCTGGGCCCTTCGAGGGAGGCAGAGGTGGAGGGCCTCGTCCTCCTTCTTTTTCGACTCGCATCTCCTCTGCATGGAGGCAAGAGCGGAGCCGAAAATCCCCTCGGGAACGATGGGCATGTCAAGCACATCCTCCTTTTCCCGGTCTGGGAGGTTGGTGAGGTTGAGCCATCTAGCTCTTTCCTGCACCACCATGATCCCCATTGTTTTGCCCGTGGCCTGGACGGCGCAGCGTTGGACACGGAGACAAATGTCTGTGACCGCGGCCAACTCATCCAGAACGGCCGGTCCAGGATTACTCAACATATCCTCACAGAGCTCCGCTTGGTATGCGGTTAGCAGTGAGGAAACGTTCAGAGCCCTAGCGGACAACGCTGCGGCTCTGTAGGACCGTTCAGTCATGGTCGACTGGAAACGGTCCACCTTCGCTGGCAGTGTGGGGTTCCTGCTTGGTGACGGGCCCATCCTCGGTAGGAGGTGGGCTGCCACCAGCAGTTCCATCGGCGGTATGCGGAGCAGGCCGAGCCTCTGCGGGCGAGACCATGGTGAGGTCTCGCCGGGAGCTCCCGCCTGGTGAGGCGTGGGGCTCCGTTCCCGCGTCTCTTGCCGCCACCGGGTCCCGGCCTGACACGGCATGGGATCCCGGTTCCGCAGCTGCCGCTGTTAGTGAGCCCCAGACCGACACAGTGAGGGGCTCAGTCTCTGCGGCGGACGCCCCATGTCTTGATTGCCAAACGGCGAATCAGTGGACATGAGGGAGTCCTGTTCCAACAAGCTAGCTTGGTGTGCTAGCCGTCGGTGGAGGCTCTTTCGGATGAAAAGGGCACAATGCCCGCACGAGCCGGGGTTGTCGATAGCCTCCTGGGCGTGTTCCAGCCCGAGGCAGGACGAGCAGACCTGGTGTGAGTGTGTGCCTGCTATCTTCAACCCGCAGCCGCATGACCGAGCCTCCGAGTCCCTGACTCCTCTGGTGTGAGGGGGAGAGGCGTCCATCTTGTTCGCCTCGTGGCGTGGAGAGGACCCGCTCGTAACAGGTACGTCGTTGAGAGAAAAAGTGTTACCAACCCGTCCTTAATCCGGAGAAAAAGGGACGGTGTGGGTCCTTTGTTCTCAAAGAATATTGACTGGTGTGTCAATATACTTCTAATCCTTTTCTCCTCCGTGAGAGAGAAAAAGAAAAGCGTCCTCGCTACCGTGGTGTCGGTAGTAAGGGGAAGCTAGCAACAGGTGTGTAGCTAGCTTGAGAAAAATCAAAACCTTACCTTACTTTCCGGGGAAATAAACGGCGAGGTCGATTTTAATACTAACTGGCGTTAGTATTACCGTCTTCTTGCGAAGCAGAAGGAGCGCCCGTCGACCGAAATGGTTATATTTGGGTTCAGTCTGTGGACCGTTAAGCTTGTCCGGCTACTATAGAGATGTGCTCTGAAGCGAGAAGAGGTGTTTGAATGATGCATGCGTCGTGGCACAAGCTACTTATAGGGGGTGAATTCCCTGACGCTGACGTCAAGATCACCAGCCAATCAGGATTGGCGTAATGAGATTGATGCTTCTGTTTGCTCCGCGATGAGGCGCTTCCCATAGTGAGACATCGAACGGAGTGTCATGAATGAGAACTGAATTTACCCCCTCGAGGGATCAATAAAACATAATCCTTCAAGTTTCAATAGGTCCTCAACTCAACATTTCAAGTGTCTTTTCTGAAAAGCACTCTATAATAAAATGTTTTATTATTATTATTTTTTTTTGTCGGTGCTCTGGCACTAATAATAACTTTTTGGATGTCAATAGGCCCTTCGCTCTGATTCTGTCGTTGCTCGGGCCCTAATGATAATTAAAGCTGCAAGCAGTGATGAAAAAGGAGGTGTTGAAGTCCTCAGGCATGGAAACGGCATAATGAAACCTCACCCTTCAATATGGTCCTCGCCGACCTCTCGGTCGCAGACCTTAATAGTGATAATAATAATTGTTTAGATTCCACTAGGGTCCTACAACTCTACCTGGTCAGTGCTTGGACCCTAATCCATTATAAACATTTGCAAATGTATAAACATTTATTTTATCCAATAATTTAAAAACGAAATGAATAAAGCGAATTACTAACTAAAAAGGTTATGTAATGTGATAATGGACACTTATTTTGAAACATTTCATAAACTGAATTTAGTTATTGTTGCAGTATGGATAGGGACAACATTTTTGACTGATGGGAGTGAAAGCAGCACTCAGTTTATTCAACTGTAAAAGTGCAATCAAAATATTTTGTCACTCAAAACCATGAATAAACACACGCGCACACACACACACACACACACACACACACACACACACACACACACACACACACTGTATTTACTGCTATGTACTGCATCGGCAGATCACTGCATTGCATGTTGCGTGTGTGTGTGTGTGTGTGTGTGTGTGTGTGTGTGTGTGTGTGTGTGTGTGTGTGTGTGTGTGTGTGTGTGTGTGTGTGTGTGTGTGTGTGTGTGTGTGTGTGTGTGTGTGTGTGTGTGTGTGTGTGTGTGTGTGTGTGTGTGTGTGTGTGTGTGTGTGTGTGTGTGTGTGTGTGTGTGTGTGTGTGTGTGTGTGTGTGTGTGTGTGTGTGTGTGTGTGCGCATGCTGCAGTGACCCACCAGCCTGGATGATCAGCTTGGCACACTCGTTGCAGGGGAACAGAGTCACATAGATTGAGCAGCCCTTCAGATCAGCGCTGTTCTTGTTCATGATGGCGTTGAGCTCTGCGTGGCACACTTGTATAACAAACAAGTTATAAACAATCAGACATGCATGATATACATGTGCTCCAATGATAGTGTGATTTATTTGTCACAGAAGGAATAGATCTCTCCTAACACACTATCGAAACCCAAATGTGATCATAAGGCATTTTAATGATAAAACTATTCTACATTTTGGATTTTCCAACAAATTGTTTGATTTCAGAAAAAAAGAAAATCTAAAAGTTAAGCAAAAAGGAGAAGTGTGTGCATCCTCACCATAAAGGTATTTGGTGTTAAGCTCATCTTCAGGAGGAGTATCAGCCTTGACAGCATAAATGGCAGCAACAGCGGCGGTGTCCATGACACTAGCCTTAGCAGCGTCAGCAGCCTCTCTAGCTTTAGAGCGGGACCACGGCATGTGATCTTCACAGCCGTTTGGCATCTTATTGTAACCAACGCCAACTACCTTTTTGTCCTGGTTCACAATACACGCCCCAACCTGCAAAGGGGGTGAGGTGTTCTAGAGTTTAGTCTAGCTGAACTTTTAAATACCAAACATTACATTGCATCATGAAATAATCCAACATCAGATGCAACAACCCGCTGCCCTCAGGAGAAAGTCACACTCTCTAAAGGCCCAGACATTTTAAGGATCACTTTAAATTCTGAACATCCATTCCTTCAACCGTCATTATCTAATACACACCAGCACTCAGCTTGAATGAATTTACGAAGATCTTTTTGAAAATGTTTGTCTGTGTTTGTTGAAGATTTAAGAGCCTGTTATTAGATTATTGTTAGTACTGCAAAATTAATCTACTTAATGCAATAAAAACCTCCAACAGTTCTGCCAAGATGGAAGAGGGAATATGTTTAGTGAATCCAGATTAGAGTACTACATCGGCGATAGGGCTTCACGTACTACATATATTTATTAATAATTGATCGAATAGATTCCATTTTTACTTCCAGAATAATAAAACAATTGTTCTACTGAAATAAATATCAACAACTGTATCATTAATATTTTATTTGACATGTTGATCACTTATTAGTAAAGACTATAGTGGAATATTGTTAAAATAAGTATAATTTCCACATCACTATTATCATAATACTCATATTAATAACGGTTAATATTATTATTCCTATAATTATTCAATGCCTGATCACACAAGATTTAAAAGATTCACCGTGAAAACACACACACACACACACACACACACAGACCTGTCTGTTTGGGTCTTTGCTCTGCTTTGCTGACAGAACGGCTGCAGCCATGAAGTAATCTTCAGGTTCCATGAAATATTTTCCAGCCCCGTTGCTACAGACAAACACAACAAGACAGAAATTATGTAAAATTGATTAATCACAAGACGAACATGTTTTGGAGACTTTTCATGTGAAATCTAAATTCCTTTCTGATGTTGACATTCATCAAAATATAGTTTAACAGTCTACTACTCCTACACACACCAGTGGAACAGGCTGCAGTTGTTACTGTGACTTCTGTCCTTTGGGTTTGAGCAAAAGCTTTGCCTGGAATTACGGTTTTGCTTAATTTCGGTCAAATCAGTTTTGGCAGCATGTCCAGCAGCTCTTTGACTTTACCTAAAAGTAAGTCATATAGATAAGCATCTGAACTTTATTTTAATAAAGTAATAAATATGTTCTTATGAAATGCAGGGAGCAGCAACTTCCTGGTCGTGAATTTTTACTTACATACTTGATAATAAAAACATGTAATTAATTAAGGTTTCCAACTAATTAATAACCTAATTGATGTTTCAGCATTAGTGCTGACAGTAGGCTTACTTATTTATCAAAAGTATACTGTAACAAAAGAAGATGTAAAATATAACTTATTACATCCACTCAAGTACTTTCAAGTTATTTTAGCTCAGCATTTCACTTTAACACTTTATATTATTGCTTTCAACTAACCCAATACAGTTAGGTGAAATCTGAACATAATACATCTAATTAAAGTCAAGGTTTCAGTTTTTTCAGTGCTTTCTCTCGGGGATGTTCGTGCCTCTCATATTGAAAGTTTACAAACAGTTTGAACTACTTACTCTTTAGTTTGAGCTGGTGTCTGCTGCGGATTGTCTGCCATAGTGCTCTGATGCTGGACCCCTCACAGTCTGTGCCTCTCTCTGGACTGTACGCTGTTGACAGTTAGTTGAACGTTAAGTAGCGGTGGAAGAAAGTTCCACCTCAAATGACGTCAACACAGGATAGGTTATTCCTGGTTGCCGCCCTTTAAATGAATATTTAGAGCCTCGCCTACGGAGTTTATGTTCTTGCTTTTTTTTAACAATAAAAAAGGTTAGGGTTTAGAGTATTTTATATTGTATATATAACCTATTTATTGTTAAATTAAACTGTTCTTAATGCACAAGAGAAACAATGTGTTCAGACAAACAAACTCAAATAGAGTATAAAACAGCAGAAAATATTCATGATACCCTAGAATTCTGTTTACTGTAAGTACAGTAAAAGTACTTAGTTATAATGCAGTACACAAAAATGACATCACCCATCTCTTAGTTCATCAAAACACCAAAGACACAGAGGAAATATTTGCATCATCAGCAGATAAAAATGACATTCCATCGCTCACCCTTTTGCACGCATAGGATGGAAAGCAGGAAGCAAATATGTATTTGTGACCGTGCCCTAAAGGTAGTGAATATCAATGACACACACAGGTCATTGTTTATAAGTCAAGGTGGCAAAAAGAGCCAATGTGATGTACTGCTGCATTGTTTCTTCGAGAGCTGGAATAACAAGTGACGTGAAAATGATGCATTGAATAAAAACAATTGCATTTGATACAAAATTATCCTCCTACAAGCTAACGGAGAGACTGCGAGAGATGGAGGCAGAGAGAGTACGAGGAGAGAGGAGACGAGAGAGTGAGAGACGATGAGAGAGGAGAGAGACGGCAGGGGGGTTTAACCAGTGCAGGACCTGAAGAGAGCTTTAGCGAGCGGAGAATGATGAGAGAGAGAGATGAGTGTAGAGGATGGAGAGATGAGATCGAGAGACGACCGAGAGAGCGTTCCGTATCCGGAGAGAGACGAGATAGAGGAGAGACGAGAGAGAGAGAGAGAGAGAGACGAGACGAGAGATCGAGAGACGAGAGAGAGGAGGAGGAGAAGAGGAGAGAGATTGAGAGAGAGAGAGAGAGAGAGAGAGAGAGAGAGACACGTGTGTTGAAGTGTAATTGTATCACTGTATATATATATATATATAGATATATATATATACAAATTAACTTAACAACTTCTACAAACGTTTTGATATTAATTCTGCTTCTAACATTGATGCATGTAATAACTTGTCAACCTTTTTAACCTGTGACCCAATACACAATGGAAGAATAATAATTGATGATAGTGCTGTGGCCAGGGTTTTCAAACAACTGCATACTAAGAAGGCCAGTGGGCCAGACGGTATTTCGGCACTCCTGCTGAAAACGTTTGCAGATGAGCTCACCCTTGCCTGGAGTCCATTATTCCAGCTCTCTGCTGACTCGGGAAGCATCCCTCAAATATGGAAGAAAGCTGTCATCATACCAGTTGCAAAAAAAACATGCCCACATGACAACAACGACTTCAGACCAGTGGCTTTGACCTCAATAGTTATGAAGTCACTAGAACGGATTATTGTAGGGAACTTGCGAACTGAGGTGCAACACCTCTTGGACCCCTACCAGTTTGCGTACAGCGATGGTAGGTACAGATGATGCTCTGACCTCTACAACTCACTTTATTCTAGCTTATACTAGATTAATGTTCATGGACTTTAGTTCAGCTTTTAATACTATTCTTCCCCAAATTATGTTAAAAAAGCTCAAACAGATGGATGTGAACCCTTACTTAATCAGATGGTATCACTCCTTCCTAACTGAAAGACAGCAGCAGGTGAAAGTAAACTCGACCCTCTCTGACACACAGGTCATAAGCACAGGGGCACCACAAGGCTGCGTTAGAAAAACCACATCATAACGTTTTCTGATGACAGAAGCCAGTGCCAGCATTTTCTGCGTAGGCTCAGGGTTCATGGAGTGCTAAATGTATCATGTTAATGTTCTACAGAGCAGCAATTGAGTCTATTATTCGTTATGGCATCACGACATGGTTTGGTAACTTGTCAGTTCAATCTAAATCACAACTCCAGAGCTTGATAAAAAGGGCTGGAAAAATAATTCGCATGCTTCCACCATCCTCTCTTCAGGAGATATTTGAGGAGATGGTGAGAAAGCAAGGCTACACTGAAAAAAAAAAAGGCCGTTGGATTAACATGATTTTAATATGGAAACCGGTTGCACACATGAAAAACACGTGTACTCAAAACTATTCCATTATGTTAAAGACACACAACTATGTTATGTTAAAGAAACATGAAATTGTTATGTTCATTTGAATATTTCCTTTAATATAGGTATATTCATTTACCCTATGTTTAACCAACATGACTTTTTATGTTCATATTAGGCTTTTAATATACTCAGTATATTTCTGTACAGAGCCACATGAATGTTTTGTTTAAACTACATGCTATAGTTTTCTGTTTAATCTACCTAGTTCTCAAGGGGTACATAAGATTATTGATTTCATGTGAATAGAGGCATTTTGTACATTCTTCTACAGCAGTGTTTCTCAAACTTTTTCTTACCAAGGACCACTTAACCAATAAAAAAACACTCGCGGACCACCTAACTCCACAAATATCCAAAAACACATCGTTTTTTACAAATCGCCTGAAAATGGTACAAGCAAGTGGCAACATGTGAGATGAAGGTGTTTATCTGGGCTATATCATGCAACTTAAGCTCGCTCCATTGCGGAAATATTCCCGCGAGAGTGCAGAAAACTTAAATAAATAAATGTATTTCAAATGTGACATTTTACCATAGGTGCCTCAAGGGGCGGTAACCCTCGAACCTCCTGGTGGACACCGGTGGTCAGGGAAGCCGTCCGACTGAAGAAGGAGGCCTTCAGGGATTTGTTATCCCGGGGGACTCCCGAGGCAGTTGCAAGGTACCGACAGGCCCGAAGGGCAGCAGCCTCATCCGTGGCCGAGGCAAAGCAGCGGGTGTGGGAGAAGTTCGGAGAAGACATGGAGAAGGACTTTCGGGCGGCACCAAAGTTGTTCTGGAAAACTGTCCGACACCTCAGGAGGGGGAAGCAGGGAACCATCCAAGCTGTGTACAGTAAGGATGGGACGTTGTTGACCTCAACTGATGGAGTGTTAGGGCGTTGGAAAGAACACTTTGAGGAACTCCTGAACCCGACAACTCCGCCCTCTATGTTAGAGGCAGAGCTGGAGTATGACGGGGGATCAACACCAATCTCCCGGGGGGAGGTCACTGAGGTCGTCAAACAACTCCACAGTGGCAAAGCCCCGGGGGTGGATGAGATCCGCCCGGAAATGCTGAAGGCTCTGGGTGTTGAGGGACTGTCATGGTTGACACGTCTCATCAACGTTGCGTGGAAGTCGGAAACAGTACCGAAGGAGTGGCAGACCGGGGTGGTGGTTCCCCTTTTTAAAAAGGGGGATCAGAGGGTGTGTGCCAATTACAGAGGCATCACACTACTCAGCCTCCCCGGGAAAGTTTACTCTAGGGTACTCGAAAGGAGGGTCAGGCCGATGGTCGAACCTCAGATTGAGGAGGAACAATGCGGATTCCGTCCTGGTCGTGGAACGACGGATCAGTTTTTTACTCTCGCAAGGATCCTGGAGAGGGCCTGGGAGTACGCTTATCCGGTCTACATGTGTTTTGTAGACTTGGAGAAGGCGTATGACCGAGTTCCCAGGGAGTTACTGTGGGAGGTGCTGCGGGAGTATGGGGTGAGGGGGTCTCTACTCAGGGCCATCCAATCTCTGTACTCCCAAAGCGAGAGCTGTGTCCGGGTCCTCGGCAGTAAGTCGGACCCATTTCCGGTGAGGGTTGGCCTCCGCCAGGGCTGCGCTTTGTCACCAATCCTGTTTGTAATATACATGGATCGGATTTCGAGGCGTAGTCATGGGGGAGGGGGTCTGCAGTTCGGTGGACTAAGGATTGCACCACTGCTTTTTGCAGATGATGTGGTTCTAATGGCTTCATCGGTCTGCGACCTTCAGCACTCACAGGATCGGTTCGCAACCGAGTGTGAAGTGGCTGGGATGAGGATCAGCACCTCCAAATCTGAGGCCATGGTTCTCAGCAGGAAACCGATGGACTGTCCATTCCAAGTAGGGAATGAGTCCTTACCCCAAGTGAAGGAGTTCAAGTATCTCGGGGTCTTGTTCTCGAGTGAGGGAACAATGGAGCGTGAGATGGGCCGGAGAATCGGAGCAGCGGGAGCGGTACTGCAGTCGCTTTACCGCACCGTTGTGACGAAAAGGGAGCTGAGCCAGAAGGCAAAGCTCTCTGTCTACCGGGCCATTTTCGTTCCGAAAGAACGAGATCGCGGATACAAGCGGCCGAGATGGGTTTTCTCCGCAGGGTGGCTGGTGTCTCCCTTAGGGATAAGGTGAGAAATTCGGTCATCAGGGAGGGACTCGGAGTTGAGCCGCTCCTCCTTCGCCTCGAAAGGAGCCAGTTGAGGTGGTTCGGGCACCTAGTTAGGATGCCACCTGGGCGAGGTGTTCCAG